ATTGTCATGCAAAAGGTACTCAAAGTTATTCTAACAGATGAAGATACCGTATTTAATTCCGATGATGATAAAAAAGCTAACGGCAAGAATTATGGTAACATAGCACACACAAAGGATGGCAAGAAGAAAGAAGTAGAATAGAAAGTAAGATAATACTTGTTCAGCAAATAGTTGAGATGATAAGAGCGTCATGCAAGAGTTTGTGGAAGTTGTTTTGAAAAAGGAGTAGAAAGTAGCTACTTTTGGTCAAGACAAAAATGCCGACGGTGAAAATCCAGTTGATGCCGTAATCACTAAGAGTCGCGGAAAGAAAAAAAAACTAAGAAGCGAGATGGTTTTGGTCAAGCAAACTAAGTATCTGATGATGATCAAGGTGTAATTCAAGAGGTGTTGGAAATTAATACAAAAGAGAAGTAGAACGTAGTTATTCTTGGTGAAGAGAAAGAGAATGATGACGCAATCACTAAGAGTGGAGAAAGAAAAAAGAAGAGGAGAAAGCAAGATGTTTCTAGTCTAGCAAACATGAGAGAGTTGATTGTTATTAGGATGTCATTCAAAAGATCGTGAAAGTTGCTGCTAAAGAGTAAAACAACGTCGTTATTTCAAGTGAAATGAAAAATGTTAACAGAGAGCACCTTATTGACGATGAAGTCGATAAGGATGGCAAGAAGATTAGATAAAGAAAGCAAGCAAGATCTTATTTAAATAAGTTCTTAAACTCATCAAGAAATATGCAAAAGTCAATTAATGAACTCTTCCGTTGGTTTGGTTCTTGACAACTTTTGTGATCTTCTTGAACTCCTGTTGGTTCTTAACCTTTGCGTCTTTCACAACATCTTTACTCAACTTCTCAAACGTTATCTTCTTGTACTCTTCATTGCATTGTTTTTGCTTGTTTTAAGTTGACATAGACTTATCATACTCTTACTTATTCTGTTTAGAATTCTCAATGTAGTGAGACTTCTCAAATACATACATGTATTTTGATTTCTCTCCCTCAACTTTGCCAACCACAAGACACTCTTCCTCTTGTGATGATCTTATTTTAACCACTTTTTGAACTCAAAAATAAATATGAAGAAGTCAGTTGTTGACCTCTTCCTTTGGTTTGATTTTTGATAGCTTTCATGAACTTTTTGAACTTCCATTACTTCTTTGAATTGGTGTCTCTCACAATATCCTTACTCAATTCCTAAGTTGTTCTCTCGTCGTACTCTTCATTGTTCTGCTTTTGTTTGTTGTAAGTTGACATAGACTTATCATACTCTTGCTTCTTCTATTGAGCCTTGTCAATATAGGAAGTCTTCTTCAATTCAAACATGTCTTTGAATTTTCTACTCCGTCTTTGGCAATCCTTATTTATCATTGGACTAGTTTGACTTTTAATCCAGAAAGGAAGAATTATTAGTATAGTATTGAAATAGTAACTCGCTGCTGTGAGGATGGAAAAAAAAACTTGGCTTTGCCAACCACATAGACACCCTTGAAGTTGAAGTTGAAGTTGCTGGAAAAGATGAAGATAACGTAATTTCTCCTAGTGAAGACAAAATAGTATCGTCAAAAACTATGTTGACGTAGTAGTCACAAAGGATGGCAAGAAGAAAGATGAAGAGGAAGTAAGATGGTTCTGGTCAAGCAAACTGGATAGCTGATGATTATAAGTTCGTAGTGAAAGTTGTTGCAAAAAAGTAGTAGAAATAGTTACTTTTGGTGAAGAGAAAAACACTAACGACGAGAACATGTTGATGCCGCAATCATTAAAAGTCGCGAAAAGAAAAAATAAGAGAAGGAAGCAACACATTCCTTCCAACATTTTACTTCAAATCTTCATCTATAACAAAATCATAAGCAAAGATCTATATCTTGCTTATCTACATCCATTGCAATCTTTATGCTCCTACATGTTATTCAAATTAAGCCAATTATGTTATGTGTATTACTAGGTTACACCAACACTTGGTTGGATCTTGACAAACATTGACCATAACATTTCTTGTGTCCATCAATGGAAAAAATGTCACCCACAATCCACCCAAAATCCATGGGCATCCAATGTTGGGCTCTGTCACACATTCAATATTAACAATAGGTATTTTAGAATCAATTTCAAAATTAAAATTAAAATCAAAATATTCTTGATATTACTGGATTTATGATGCTCCAACATCAATCGGTTCAGGATGCTCTTTCACAAAGTTCCCTCCTGTTACGTTCAAAGTTTCAAAATTTCCTCATAAAACACAAGATATCTGACATAAGATTGAACCATAGCAATATTTTGGAAAACACATCACCTTGAAGATTTGCGCTATCAACCTTGCATCATCGGTTGCATCAAACTACAGGTTGCAAAACCAAATGATGGGAAGTTGGAACCTTCTCATGCATCGTGGAGATACTACGGATGAATTAGCTATGGTTCTCATTAAGATACAGGATTTTGGCAGAGAGAGTGAGTTTTCATGGTGGACGGGTGTTATTATGCCGATCCAAAACAAATTAACAAGTTGTGACGAAGTCTAACAGGGAATATCGAAGGCTCATGCTTAACACTACTATCAGATTAAGAGCACAATTTGGTTTATTTAGAAATCAACCAAATGGAAACAACTGCTCACCGAAAAGAAGAGATTCACGGTGGGGACTCTGGTGCTCATGAAGTTTGGCTGAACTATCGACGCAATTGATCCAATCTGCTCTGATACGTACAGGGTCGTGAATCTTGGTTCTTGCGCCATTGCGATCAGACACGAGCAGAGCAACCACTGCGACCAGAACGAGGACGAGGAGGGCGCCGGCGGAAGGAACACTGAAAAGTGTGTTGTGGTTGAAATGTACGATGACAGGTCTGACACGAGCCGGCAGTGGCCGAGCTCTCATAGAATTCACAGGTGCTCGCTCCTTCCCACCGATGTTCTGTGATTTAGTGGGAGCATGGTACGATGACGGGGATGGAAATCACTGACCAGGTTAGTAATGGTCTTCTCCGGTCGCCACTTGGGCTCAGGACGAGTGGACCCGAGTAGAGCAGAGTAGCAGAAGGGATGGCAAGGCCCCATGAAGTGGTACATGGAGCTCAGTGTCGAGAAGACGGATGTGGTTGTCATTCATTACAGCAGGCCCGTAATGCAGTGAAGAGGACAGAGTTCACAGATTGTGGGAGGCAGGAGCAGGAAGTTATGAGGAGGAGGAGGGAGCCAAGAGAAGAATCATCATGATGTTGAATTGCAGTCACATTGAATACGGAGTTTGAACCTCCGTTCAACCTACGAGGCTCTGTCAGGAGCGGGTGGAGCTGCATTGTAGTCTTGGAGAGCAGGTGGGAGATCCATGAGGATTTGGAGTCTGTTGTGATTCGAAGGTTTGCTCGGAAAGTTAGGACGAACGGTTCCACGTTTTTTAGCAAGAGGTGCAATGTAATGGTGGGATGTTCATCGATTCGGCGTTAGCTGAGAACACTCGGAAGCGCCGAACGAGAATATTGATCTTGCAGTTTACAGAGATTAGCTCCGGATTTAAGATAAAGGTCGCAGACAGCTTCCTTTGTCTGAAATAGGCCATTTTGCACATGGCATGCAAGGGCAAACAGCTTAAACTGAATTCTATGTTCTGTGCTAGTCGAAACACATAACTTAGAAGGCCAAATTTTCTGCTCTTCCCACTCCCCAGTGGGACCGAGAATCAAGTTGCTTGGCCCAGCGTAATCCTCCTCCTTTGACACGAAACTTCCATACCAGCGGTGCGATTGTGGCCAACAGCTGTGAGTCCGAGGACTTCTAGATTCTGTTATTCGTCCAAGTCTTGACGACGGTGGAGGCCTGCAATGGCAAGTTTCATAGAATCGCACCCTTTCACATCGAAGTGGTGGAGGTGACCTAGACGGGCTGGGTGGCACAGCCGGTGGAGGTGGTTACCACAGCTGGACGACCTTCTTTTCGTTGAGCCCTTCAAACGCTAGTGACGGTGCGATCTGCGTTTTCTCCCACTTCGTCTCCTTCCCTGGGAAGATAAGAGTGCTGGCTGTATGAAGCTATCTCACTGCAACACATACGGTCGTCACCTTCTCGACCCACAGTATTTGTGCGACCTTTACCAACAAAAGGACTTAGAACCTGCAAGGCAGCAACTCGGAATCTCTTCCATCTTCCCTTGCGGCCCCGTTGAACGAAGAAACTTGCTGTCCTGACTTGCAGGCCTTGGAATGTAGTGTACTCGTAGTCACATTGACGTCTTCACTGAAAGTGAGCTGATCCTCTACATGGACCTCCCAACGTAGAGCTCAGCCATACATATCGCCGATTGAGGCAACAATTTGAGACAGCAAAGTCCGTCAGACATTGCAGTTGCAATCCTAGTCTCCCGACCGCGACGAGTCCTGCACAGATCCCATTTGCTCAAATTTCGCCGCTCAACCAGTGGTTCATGTAGCGAGAGCCAATCGGAGGACGAACATGATGTTGAATCCGGAATCTAGCACAGTACAGTCATTCCCCCACACTTGAGGTGGACATCGATAGCAATTGGCATTTAATGGCGAAGTTACAGGATTTCCAGAATGAAAGCAATTCTCGTGCCGTAAATAATGACTCGCCTTTTCCTGCATATCCAATTCAGCTGCCCACTTCAATCGAGAAAGACGATGAATCGACGATCGCTATTGACTTGCAGCCGTACAGAGGAAGGAGGTCGACCTGGTACGAAAGAGACAATGATGTGACGACATGCTGCACTTATTTTCCTGGAAGAGCAATCTGCGCAAAACAATTTTGTTTGCGCCATCCTGGAGAGCACATTCCGCCATGCCCACGTTGGGACTGAACATGTGGACAAAAGCCAGAACAGACAAGTGTTGAAAGGCCATTTAATGATTTTGACCCAGCAGAAACGACAAGTGGGAGCACGACGAAGTAAAGCTTTAAATAATGAACACACAACTGACAGGGAATCCAGGGCAGTGCCACCCCGGCTCCAATGAAGACTGAAGACAATCCAGCAAAGCAAGGAGTACTCTTGGAAGGCAAGCCATTAAGCTAGTGAAAGCGTCGAAGGTTTGTCCAACTCGACAATTTCATGTTAAAATACATTCTTGGTCCGGACACAGTCGTCGTCTCTAGTAATATTTCAATCTTACTACTAATGATCCAGCTCTATACTTCACAGATGGGCTCCAGAATTGCTACGCTGCTAAGAGGTCGAACTAAGACTCTTCTCTAAGACGAAAAACTCCTGTAGTTAGCGGTAGCGAACTACAACAAATGCCTGACTTTATTCGATCGGCCACCAAAACTGCGTACTACATCTAACCCTATCAAAATAATTCGGGGGCGACTGATGCCGACTACATGGATTGAGCACCCAATAAAGTCATCTTATCTAGTCAAAATTCTTTTAGCGAACTCTGGGCCGAAAAATCATTTGGATTTTCACGTGCAATACTTTGCTGTCAAACCCATAAACTGAGTGACTGAATTTCTTGCTATCCATTTCCCAGATGCAGCTAAGTTGTTGTACAAAAAGATCTCTTGATCAATGACTGTCCGCTGGCTAACCACGGGCATCACGGTGACTTCCAGCATATGGTCTGTAGTCAGGTGATCGACTGCGGTAGCGCCGAGGTGGTGAACGACTGTTGAACACAAATAAGCAGGAGAGTGAAAATGTTAGCCATCAAACCTTTGGCGGTGCTTGCAAAACGCATCATTGGGTCTGTCACAATAGACACCGTTCTTTGAGGAATGCATTTGTTCCAAGTAAGCAAATTAAGTTGCAAACGCACCTCCGGTATCGTCCATAGGTGGGACTGCGAGCTCGTCCATAGTCAGGGCTACTCCTTGCTCCTCCTCCTGCACCAATGCTTCCTCGTCCTCGCCCTGCAGGACTTGAACTACGCCGAGAGCCTCCACCAAATCCATTACTAGTTCCACCAACACTTGTAGGCGGGTCTCCGTCTTCTCGAGCAGCGTACTCCACGGTTATGACTCGCTCCATAACCTTGCTGCGAATCTCATCGAAGCCATGAATCAGGTGAGCTGCAGAGAATGTGGGGGTCTCTATACATGGTACCGGTACCAGCGAAATGAAAAGGTATAAACAGTGTATTGGACTATTTGTACTCAAATTTTCTGATGATCCTCTTCAAAAACTGCTCAAAATCTGATCGGATAAAACCATCATAAACAGCCCGCCCACGACACTCTACCGACACTAAACAGGCTAACAATACAGCTGAAGCTTAAAATAACCTCATATTTGTGCATTCCAATGCTTTGGTTGCCTCCTCCTGTGTTTCATACTGTACAAATGCAAAATTCTTGCGTATCTGCACTCGAAGAAGCTTCCCATACGGTTCGAAGTGTCGTTCCAAGTCACGAACTCTTGTGTGGATGGGGTCAAAGTTTACAACAAATAGAGTTTTCGTTGGTCGCTGCTTTGTGATACTTCTGCGAGCATCCTCTCGCCGGCGAATGGCGCCGTCGCCTTGCTGTTGAGGAAAGGCACAAGAAATTTAAGAACGTGAAACTATTTCAGGTGAGATGAACACCCTGGTACATAGTAGAAGAACAATGAGTAGTAGTAAAGTAAGAGTTGGAAATTAAAATTGCTGAGGTACGTCTATTCAGAAACTGGATACTGATGCTCGTATGATTGCACAACATACAGACTGAAAAAGAAAGACCATTCCACAAACAAACCGATTTGAAAGATGATCAAATCAACCAAGAAGAACTTGCTGAAACTGTCAAACTGATATCTAGGCTGAGAACATGTCCATTTGAATCGAGGTAGAACTGGCTGTCCTAGTTTTACATGAAGAACACAGACAAAAAAATCTTGGGAAAAGGGAAAGACTGGTTGATATGAGGTCAAGTACAGGGGAGTCGAAAGCGTAAGGAAGGAGACAGTTGATAAGTTCTCTGAGAAGAAATGAAAATCTACCGCTAAGATTGATTGCTCACAGGAGTCACCTTAGCCCATTCGACACAAAGTCGCCGTCTTTGTCTTCCAAACTCTGTGTTGTCCAAAGCGCGGATGGCATCCTCGGCGTCTCGTTCGTCTTCCATATAAACAAAAGCAAACCCTGCCATTCAAAGCTAGAAGTTAATTATGCAATGTTACAAGTTTAGTCTGTGCTGACCCAAGACACAAGCATTCTCACATTATTGGCAGATATGCTGCAGGAAGGGATCCACAAGGGACCCACAATACATGGTTTACAAAAGAATGGTCAATCACAACACCTGGACTTCATCATGTTGGTTGCACAAAAGTACGATGTCAGGAAGAACGTTGCATGATGCACTAAGGACGATGTGCTTCAGGAAGGCTCTGATGACCGTGTGCATCAAAGGCAGCCAGGATTGAAATTGAGTGTAAGGATGTTGACAAAACGGCAAGAGTCAGCCAAATCTGCTCCAATAATGTTGCTCCAGCAGCTGAAGTCTGTCCTGAGTATCTATATGATTCTGCCGCACACGTGGTCGACATGATCACGAGGACAAGCGAGATGCTGACATGACCACTCTGATGACAGTGGGAGGTATGACAAAAATGATGATCTGAAGATGATAAGTGGATGCAACTGGTGGCCTCGGCAAGTTTTGTTGGACGTTGATGCTCTGACAGTGGAGCAACTGTTGGCATGAACTGAAGGGGCAAACAAAGAGCATCCCAGCTCTGTGGAACCGCCTGCGTTGCCACACCAATCCTTAAGTACACTAGATTCACCTACAAATCCACATTAGCCACTCATGTTTCAATGTTCATTACAGTGAAACTGCAGCTATGGCGACAAGACTACATGGGAGAAGCAGATCTGAAGCCTAACTAGTTCATCTACCAGGGAAAGAGTAGTCTATGATTGGTAAGTAGATAAACAGATCTCATTCGGATATTCAGCACACGAGACATTGACTCGCTAGGTCAATTTTCACAGTTATCTGATATATCAAAGGAAATGAACTGCTCACGATAATGACACCAAGAATAAACTATCAGGATAAGCAGGCCTCAAAACTCTTGATGCAACTTGCATCTAAGAGAAGTTACGATATGACATATTATATTGCTAAACTGAAATTAACAACCTCTTGGTACATTGACACCTCCGGAAAAAGTCGCACTAGTGATGTCTTCTAAGTCTGCTTGAAAATCTGGACTTTTCCAATGCCGAATCAAACGTTGACAAACAATTGGAGAGCTCAACAAAATTGAGATCCATTTCCTTCAACACCTTTCCCTGGCGAAAAGAGTTGAGCTTCAATGGTGTATACTGAGCTTGGAAGAGTCGAGTGCTGCCATTCTCAATATCTGAGAGTAATTATTCAAGAATTTCAAAGGCAGGATGCGTACCTGTTTTCATATCCACACGTTCCACCTTCCCATACTTCGTGAACATCCTCTCGATCTCGGATTGGCGTGCATCATACTCAAAGTTCCCACAGAACACAGGCCGCATCCTTGCCATCTTGCTTACTGACAATTAGCTTTGGCAAAGAGGATGCGTCTTCTTCCTGTGTAACCTGTCTCGCCCCCACTTCTTCTCTCGACCTACTTCATGCGACTATCAGAAAAAAGCAAATAACAGATGTCATCCCTACAGCTGAGCAGCAGCCAAAGCGGACTTGAAAAGGCTTAAAATATGTCGGGACATCGTGCAGACATCTTGTAAAGTACATGACCGGAAGGGAGGATAATATGTGACTAAGAAACATTGGAATTAGATTCATGCAAACAACCTAAAAAGTAGCACAATCTTGTTGAGAGATAAACCTCCGAAAATTTATTTATGGAAATTCAACACCCCAAATTTTATCAAGAATAACATCAAGAAGAGCACTAAAATTATAATACAATACAGTACACAGGAAAAAAAGATCACGCCCCACATATGAGGCAAGTTTCATCTCCTATCATCACATACGAAGATGATCACAGGATGATCACTTTCCTATGTAAGCCATTCATCTGGTGTAACACAGAAGAAAAAGGAAAACACTAAAACCGGATCTCAGTGAGAAACGACAGAGCTTACATATTTACTATGCACTGTCAGGCAAGTTTGCTCCATCGCATCAATAGCTAACGAGAGAATTGAAGTGGAATGACGCAAGAGGAGATTTAATGAACTGTCCAAGAAACACTACACTCTTTGCGACCATCCGTTTTAATTGCACAGACAGAGAACGACCAGTTGTACATAACAGCAATAGATCACTACAGTACAATCACAGCTGCTATCACTTAGTTGAAGAAAATGTGTTAACGGTCCAAAATTACAGTCAATGATGCAAAAAAAAATATGAATTTTATTTCCGGCAATGTATTCGCATCACTGTCGACATATCACTACTACAGAGTAGAAAAAGTAGAAAGATTTCGCGACATTGCAGCAACAGCTGCAACCAACGCATTTAAATGTCTGAACCATGAACACTCCGACCCAACCTCTAAGTCTCCGACCCATCTAAGATGTTTAGACAAATGATTTCAGCAACCGACAGAATGCGTGCATTTCCACCATCACATCAAAGAAAGTAATCAAGAGCCAATTCCAGCTCATGTGTACGTAAGTCCTTTGGCATTCCAAGAAACCCCGACAAGGTGTGCATACTACCTGAAATCGGACCAGTCAATCGGACAGCCTAGCAAGGGAGGAGTAGAGGAACGGCCAAAAATTGACAACGACAGATGTCAAATCAGTAGACATACATTCTTTTCACCCTGAACAACGACGACCTTCACGAATCCAAACGTATCGTTCCAGGCCACAATCCGAACGGCGTGTCAAGTACCCGAGGTGCTGGCAAAACGCGAAGATGACCAATCCTCGGTCCGCACAAATCAAGTCAAAGTAAAGGTGAGCAGAAAACACGTCGAAAAATGCTCAGTCCAGAAAAAGATCCTAACCTAAGGAAAGAAAGAACGGACAGCACCAACGCACGGACAGACCTACCAGGATCGATACGAAGGAAGGCGACCGGGAGATCGATCCTCGATCACCACCAAAAGAGCCCTCGTGTCTGGATCGATCACGAGGCCCGAAGAAACCGCGAGCACAGACCAAATGCAAACCCATTTCGGAGCTTTTTCACAAGATTTCCGTGTTTCCAACCGCCAGGACGCTTTGTCCATCGAGACCAATTAACCAGCCCGAGCACGTGCTAATTGACTATTCAAACGCAACCAAAAGCGGATTAAGTTCCTAATCGGGTCTACAAGACAGAACAATGTGGAACAGGAAAGGTACTCAACTCGCTCGTGCAGCATCTCTTCTTAATAGTGGATTATCATTAATTTACAGTGCTCTGTCCTGTAAGTCAAGTTCTGTGGATGATGCGGTCTCCCCCGTGCTTGTCGTGATTTATGTAGACGCTAGTCTAACTCATCTGCAACTGATGCTTTGACTTGAGTTCGAGCTCACGAGTTTCGGGTCCCAACCACTTGTGGAAGATGCCTTTGAGATCAATATCATGCTCATATCGATCATTGCAATTTCTGTGTAGAGATAGACTATATTTAACTTGGGGAGAGAGCCTTTCTTGCCGCTTTGGATGCTATAACAGTTTGTCGAAAAAGGAGGAGAGGAATCTCAAGAGACTCAGAAGGAGATGAGATGTGATCGATCGGTCTTATAACAGCGAAAAGCACCAGGTTATGGAAAGTGCATGTGATGGCGTCGGTCAGATCAGATATCAAATCTAAAAGAAATGGTTGGAGGATTTTCGCGCTAGGTGTTTTTTCCCCAGACATGACTGACATGAGTTTCAACGGAAAAGGAGTTGTGAGCGTTTATACGTTTTGGCCTTCTAGGATTACAGTACTATGTAAATAATCTAACCAAATCAAGCGTGTGAAAACTTTGTAATCTGCTTCAGGAATTTGTGTACACTATCTTTTCTAACGTAACCTCCAACCCAAGAGAAAAATACTCATAACCCTAGTTAAGTTGATGACTTCATGCATAGAATACATATGTTGAAGCAAAAATAACTTTTGCTCAGGAATAGCATTAAGAGACCTAGGGCTCAAAAAGATGGAACTTGAGTCGGCGGTATATTCACAAGTGAGACTATGAGAATGTGGTTATGGCGGATAGTACTTGTGTGAAACCTGGACTATTTGAAACTCAAGATGAGTGATACTTAGATAGAAATCGATTCTTACAAATTTATTTCAAATTATGTAAATGATGTTCAAACCTGTATTAAACTATACCATTTTGACTCTAAATTTTCCAAAATGTATTAAAAGAAGCTTACAACATCATTCTAAATTTATATTCTTCTTTGGAAATTGATATTATGAATATAAGAAATATGATCCTAGAAAACTAAAAAGTAAGTGTTTGATTCATCTATTATGTTATAAATATAGACACTTCATACATGCAATTTTAACTAAGTTTCATAACAATCCATAATACAACCACTAACATGAGAGAAAGAACGGAAACTATATCCTTTATATATTCATAGTGGATATATTATGTAATTATGTGAATTTTTTTTTATAAAAGGATTGATTTGATGTAGAGTCATTGAGATCCAGACCCTTATTTCTCAGCCATTTCTGGAAGAAGGACCAGCAAAGTAAGCTTTGAATCTGTGGAATATGTTAGTATTTTTTTGAAAGCTATCTGCGTTTTGGTCTTAAGGATTAATGCAACAGGTGATAAGCCTAATAGTTCAAAATTGAGATGCTAAAAAAATACATCCAAAAATTATATTTATATCAATATAGAAAGCTTTATGCATACAAACTACCTAAGGAACATATAGATCTCATCTCAATCGTACATCACAATACATGATAGTTATACATTTGAAAACTCTAAAGAATAATCTCTTTAACTCTCAAGATACTTTTATACTTATAATACAAAATACCCACAATTCTATAGAAAGTTCCAAAAACATGATCTCCTCCTTTTTAACGAGCTCAATTTTGGTAACAAACAATCAATGGATGAAAATGAGACTAATCATCATTAATTCTGTTTTGATTTATGACAAGTCTGATAGAGCAATCTAAGATTTTTATTGGCATTTCCGCCAAAACAGAATGAAAAAAACATGATTGTAACCACAAGGTCAATGAAAAGAAAACGTCAACAACTTTCATTGAATGATTTTCATTTAAAGGCAGAAAAAGATTGACTCTATCAGTCTTTTGATAGCAGTGATATATTCCAGTGGTTTCCTAATATCTCAACTGGCAGTGGTAATTCGAATTCCTAGTAACACATATTGTTCTATTCTTTGGTGACATTGTTAACATCTACCAAACCAGTTATCCTAATCGCTCTTGATACTTTTTGGGTTCGGATTTCGCATATATGCAACAAGAGTTAAATGAAAGTATTAGACATGCATCTTGGCATCTTTTTTTACTATTTAGGTGTACATATGTCACAAACTTTTGTGTGTAAGGGACGTAATTGACGCTTCTTCCGCACAAGCAATACAACCATCCTTCCAAATTGTATATGGAAGCATCTTCCTTTAATGTATCGTTAGTCTTGAATATCCATGACTCCGTACGAAGATGTTTGGTCTTAGATTCCATTTCGTGTTCCTTTTCAATTCGTTTGACCCAGTTTTAGTTTAATGAAAAAGAGACGATACATTTGTATCTAAATCAAACGTTCAGAAAAAGTTGATAACACCAATGGAATCCTTGAAGTTTTTAGACGGTTCAACATGCCTCACATGTTCACAAAAATTTATAAATCCATTAAAGAGATGTTCTCACATAGAGTACACTTCATTTATAAGTGCAATACAAAATGCTAGGGATTAGTATCAACGTACACAATATAGAAAGTAGGATCATAAACCCTAATTAATCAAGGTGCATTTGATTTGTGTATACTTTATAGAAAAAATTTCCTATACAGTACCAAATGTAAATCATTTGGTAAGTTAAGAATGTACAATATAGAGAATCATATACAGTACCTTAGGTACATCTGATTAGTGTAAATACTCCAATGAAGTGAAGGTAGATCCATTGAATGTGATACTTCCTTTTCTTGTGTCAAATGCGTGAGGTAGCATATGAGGAGGAGTCATGTTATTAATCCGGGTTAAGTTTTTGCCGAAAGTCATTGACTAACTCAATATTACGTAAAAGTTTTTCTATGATACTCAGCTTGTGTAACTTTGATTCCAAATTATATTGCATTTAAGCCTTTTATGGGAGAGTTAAATATATTCCTAAACTTCATTAGGTTGTAAACTTTTTTTGCCTTATGAGCTTTAACAATTTTATTACAAAAAAATAAATAGAAAAATAAATTACGGTATTCAAGGTCTGTACTAGCGTAGAAAGCTAGAGCCCATCCGGTGCACCTACAGAGCCAGACATCGAATATTGAAATGAAGTTTATCAAACCAAAAGACATCATAAAGTCAAACAGAGATGAAACCAAGGATGGTGCTAACCCTCAAGACTCTCACATCCGAAAACAAGGCATACTTCAATAGAATTTTTTAACTATTCAGGTCACTAGATTCCTATGTACTGTACACTCTTACTTACACAGTACACAAGCAGAAGGAAAATAAAAATATTTGGAGTGGGTGTGAGGTGGCGCTCTCGATGGAGCAATAGATATCATACGGAAGCAAACATCAAACGAATCGCCCTACAGAGCGAGAAATATCCAAACTCGTTTACACGAGGAAAGAGGAAAGAACAGGCACACACCAAACCACGTACCCGAAGCCGGGAGCTGCACGCGGGGCAGACCAGAAGCAAACCACGTTGCTTACTTGGGAGAGCTCAAGATATACCGACGTGGCCTCCCGGCAGGTTCCGAGCTGGAGAGCGTGCGAGCCAAGTGGCGGGCAGGCGATAGAACAAAGTTGCGGCTGCTGCCCGCGCGAGAGACAGAGGCCAAGACTGACGAATATCCGCGACATTTGGCGATGGCGGTCTCGCCGTGATCCGTGCTCTCGAATTGATCAGGTCGGTGCATTTTATACTCGAGACACTGTCGAGTCGAATCCTCGAGGTGGAAATTTACTGCTGGCTTCGCCGTGCGATCTTTGGCTGGGGAAGTCTTGCTCGGGTCGGAGATTTCGGAGAATCTGCTGGGACTGTGTGTGGGGACGAATCGTGGTGTTCCGCTTCTGGACCTCGTCTTCCGGGGGGCGATTCTGCTGTGCTGTGATGCGGAGGAGTGGGGGATTTTTTTCTGCGAGTTGGTGTTTGCGTATTTTTTTGGAGTAGGTTGGCGGAGCTGCTGCTGTGCGGGTGCTTGTGGTTTGATTCGATTGACAAGGTTAGATTTTTGGCTTCTTGCGGGGAGTTCCGCTTCGACAGTGAGAAGGCCGAGCGGGAGGAATTTGTGCAGGCGTTGCTGGTGTTTGACGCAATGTGGGAGCTTGCGTTGAATCTGTGCAATTGAAGAGGTGTAGAAGGAGGAGGCGGTGCTGAAGGCTGTAGATACTCGCGGGTGGATCCCGGTTCGAGACGGGGCGACCGATGATAGGTTCGCTGGAGGTTGTGCCTTTCGCAAGACCTTGCCGGAGCTTTAGACGATATTCGAGCTGTCCTCTTCTGCAACAGAAATCCAGACGGCTTGTTTGCGTTCGTGCCGCAGCTGATAATCCTGCTGTGCCGTTTCCAAGAATCAATGCCACAGAGCTGCAGGGTCAGGCTCGCGCTCAAGATGCTCAAAAGTTTGGGAGTGGACCTTTTGAAAATCCGAGAGGGTCTTTTATAAATGACAAGGAAAGCCCAAAGACCAGCGCGAAGGGCAAGCGTAACCAGAATCATGATAGTTCTTTGTCCCCCGACGATCCTCTTCCTCTTCCTATGACGTTTCCTGGTTCAAAACCTGCTCCCAAAGAGCAGATTGAGGCTTTGAAATTATGTGATGTCGAGAAAGAGGTACTTTTCAAATATTTGAAATTACGTCTTGCAGTTTGCAAATTTCAAGTGATGAGCTCTGAATGTCCTGCGAAGCACTTTGATCATTGAAAATTTGGAGGGCAGAGCCCATGGTTATTTGGTCAGTTATTGTGGAATGACTGTTGATCTTCATCTCAGTAGATGGAGATCGATGTTTGCAGTGGTTAACTGGTATATGATTCTCCGAAGATTTTGACTGCTTTCAGCTCCTTGTATGTTTGTCTGGGTTGAGAATCAAAATTTAGGGTTTTTTTCAAAATACAGGATACATGCTGGTTTGGCAAAAAATGACAGAAACTTTTACTGAAGAAAATCAAGGGAAGTAGGGTAGAGCTGATTATCAAAGTGTGTCTTATGCGGAGATATAATTGGACATGCTTGTTTCAGCTCATTGCAAAGTATCTACACAGTGCTCAAACTCTTCCCCGCGTTTGCTATCTTATGTGATGTTATCTGTGCTTATCTCTTTTATAATGTTTTGGTGCCTTGATCTTAATATGATCTATTCTCTAGTCTTTCAAATGTTGCTCAAACTTCTTGTAGTTGGATACTTCGGTAGGATGATTTGAGGTGGGAAAGGTAATCTACTTCAAATCAGGCATGATTCATCATGTGGCTAGGTTTATATGTCAAGTTACAGTAGAAAGTGGAGGATAGATAGGTTTCTTTACCATAAGCTTACGTCTCACGTCTATGCTAAGAAGTTGGACGTTGCAATCATTCAACTAGAATTTGACACCACGTCATGATATCACTGAGTACTTTCTAACGGTTCTTGTTGAGTAGAGAAGTAATGCCCTTTTGCTATGCTGCAGGATTGCAAGGAGGTTGTGTATCAGTGGACTGGAGAATGCAAAGCATGTCGAGGAACAGGGTCGGTAAGCTTTTACCGCAAAAGACATGAGGTCATTAGCACTTGTATCAGCTGCTTAGGAATAGGTAAGTGAACTTCTCACTCTTGAATTTGGCACTCAAGTTTTAAACCGGAAAAACAGTTTCAGTATTCGTTTTGAGGTCTAGAAAGAGGCGATTGCTTACTCCTTAATGAAAGTTAACCACTGGATTTTCTTGTATATTCTGCTGCCAACAGTGCGTTTTTCCATAATGAGCTGACGTTATTTTTCTTCATCTGGTCGAAAATGGTAGCAAGCTGCTATCTCTCCATTTTCTAAGCGTGTTGATTGTGAGCTCGTCTTTTGTCCCTCATCTTTCTTTGGGTCAGATTCACATATAAGTAATTCTTGTCAACGTCGAATAGAAAGATGTGACTTGAAAGAGGTGCGCTAAAGTTGGACCACGCCTACCCTAGAGGTGTGGCGAAAGAATTGAGCTTCAGAGAGCTGGGTCTAAATTTACGATCAGATTACGTATACAGACTCAAACGTCTTGTAGACAGAACTTCGTGCACAAAGCTTAGTTTTGACGGAAAATACGATCTATATTCTGTTTCTTACCCTGTGTTGACTCAAACTGTTAAACTGTTCCGTTGCAAGTTATATCCCGAAACCAGAAGAAGGACACTACGGAGAAATATTTCGTTGCCTGCCCATAATTTGGTTACATGTAGCACTTTGGTTGGAAGCTTCCAAATAAATTTCAAAGCATATGCTCTGTCTAGCCAAATCTCTACGTGTGGATGAGTTAGTCGATGCTTTCTCTACCGACTCTTGAAACCTCTGAGCGAATCTCAGGCAAGATACAAGCAGAAAGAGAGCCCATCTCCAGTCTCATGTTGTCCTCACTTATTCACATCTTATTCACTTTTCAGGTTGGGATTATCTTTGTTCTTCAGATAATTACAGGCATATACTTACGCCCGTTATAGCTTCTTCAAACACAAATAACGTTATAGCTTCTTCAAACACAACTAAGCATTCACCTTCTTTCCGGTTGTCAGAAGTTCTACACTTTGTCTATGTGTCAGAGGCCGAATTTCGAATAGCGTTTTATCATAGATCTTCCCAGCAGCCCTGTCATATCATTGTGCCAGAAGTACCTTTGTTTTGGAGTCGTGATCCTTATTTTTCATATATCTGCCTGCCCTTTTTTTGCCTCGCATATTGCTGAGCGACTGTTTACTGCCAAACTCTGGCGAGGAGCTTGAATTCTATGTCACTTCTTTTGGAACGCTTATTCAGAGTAAAGATGAAGATATATATATTGTGCTATTCGGTCTTGCACACGCTGAGCCCTCGTGGCTGATCATATAGAATACAGTCTGGTTGACTGTATTCTATATGTCAATGATCGATATGTTAAGTGGTTGATTGGTCTTGTTTGTACTGGGATATTGTTGTGAGTTCTGAATACATTGTTATTGCGGTCTTATTCAAGTATCAAAGGAAATAACTCTCATTTTATAGCAGTTCTGATACTTGCTATGCAGCTTTGCCGTATTGTTCGTGTATGTTATGAACCTACCTTGCAGGCTTTATCACTGACTGAGAAATATTAGATTATCTCATATAATCTTTTACCTGTGCAGGATATGTCAACAAAATAACAGCGAGGCCTGATATCGAGGATATGGATGGGAGGAAAGAGAATGAAAGAAGATCCAAATACAGTCAATAGTCACGTTTAACCTGTCTGAGCGACTCGCTCAAAAGTCCAATTCCGAACACTTGAACGTAGCTTCTGGACGTGAAGTTCAACAAACTTAGCAGTTTTGCAGTCCCGACAAGTTCAATCTCAAGGAAGAAAGAGTGCACATTTTTACAAAACTATTCATTTGATTCAAATAAAGATAGAAAAGTCCAATCACAGGGATAAATTTCCTTAATTGGCACTAAGAGCAGTCAAAATTTAACCGTAGCGACATCACCTTTATCTTCTAGGGTGAAGCTGTGTCTGTCATGAAGATTTATGATGCGTAAAGGTGCAGAGAATTGTACTTAAAGTAACTTTGATATGCTCTTTTGTTGGTCCCTTAAATAACCCTAAGCATATTACACTGTACGCGCGAAAGGGCATTTGAGCTTTACTTCAAAGCTTGTCTTGCTCAAATTAGAGTGGTTGAACACCTAAACAGCTATTGTGTGAAGTGAGATAAAAAACAGTTCTCACATTTCTTTCTGCAACACATCATCAATCAATTACATATTACGCACATTTTCCAGCGGATAGTATATATTGTTGGTGGTGTTCCCACAATTCTGTTTGTTAGCAATCACGCTGCTTAAAGGGGACATGTTCTTGAATGATAGTTCATCCGATACTTTAGGGAAGCAATTTCTGTAACGTCCTCTTGTAAATCAAGTAAAAGGAGAGTGTTTATGTTCACACCTTCAGCGTTCATTTGCCCGAATTGCTGGATGAAACGCTGAACAAAGGAATATTTAAAGCGCGAAGGGGCATTCCGAGAATTGAACTCGGGACCTCTTGCACCCTAAGCAAGAATCATACCACTAGACCAAATGCCCGGTTGTTCACTCAGTTTATAATAAATAATTTAGATACTTCCAATATTTATTTCTATTTCGGCTTCTATTGATAATACTAACTCCAAGAGAGACCATGCCTTTGACCCACTGCGTTAAAATTTTTGAAAACTTTTTGTTATCATTTGGTTTCGGACCAATAGACGAAGCGGATTTCACCCATTCCTGGATATCACCACTTAAAGGCTTTCTTCAAATAACTCTCCAAAAATCAATACAGTGCAAGACAATGTTCAGTCAAGTTGTTATCACTCCTTAATGTTATTTGAAAGAACTGCGGATCTTACTTTGAAAACGCAAGTAATTCTTAGAGAAAATTACTTGCGTGATCCTCGTTTAAAATCCTCACTTTTTGAAGTGAGGATTTTAACACTTACTGATTTTTACACATTCCAGGTTAAACTTAAAATAATATACTTAAAGGTACAAATTAAGGAATATCGTCATTTGTATCGCCAGGTGACGATAGAGTCTTCTTATGTCATGACGTGTGCATGACATGATACGCAATCTTATACTATATACAATATATTTTCATAAATACAAGATATTTTTAAAAATTCTTAATTTGTTTTCAAACTTAAACTCACCCATTTGAGCTCCCGGCGGGTCGGGCCCCTAGTTATTAAAAAATTATCAATAAAAGAAAAAAAGCTAATAATCAACTAGAGATATTTGAATTCACGCATATCGAATCTATTTTAAAAACTTAAATTCTTTGAAAGAACTGCATTGGTATATAGGTCATATGTTTTACGTTACTTTTTCATCGTAATCTATATATTTCTCACTCTGTCAATGGTATACCAAGTCATATCATCACTGAAAAAATTATGTTGAAAATGTTAAACATTAATCATGTTAATCATTCATGAAATGAAAAATACAAATGTGTTAGTAACAACCTTGTGGACTCACCAACAAAAATCTGTGGTTATTACAAATTCTAAAATTTAATTTGATGTATTTGCAACTGTAAATACATTGCAAGAAGTTTTCAAAATGTTTTTAATAACAGATTTGATAAGATTTGAAGTTAACTATATATGAGCTAATACGATGTCATTGTATAAGCTTTATATACTCTCTGTATATTTTACACTGAGATGGGAGCAATAGATCTGTTTTTCCTGCGGAAGCATGCAGATTACGACAACGTTCAAGGCTTTGCATCGTTGGGGCATTCGCGCCATGGGCACGAATCACAACGAGAAGACGAGGAAATAAGACTCAGATCGCACGATTCGCGAAGAGACCTCTTTCGTGCGCTTTTCTGTGGAGAATGGAGAATGGAGAAGAACCGTCCTCTTCTAGAATACTGAGACTCTGCGAATGGGTTCAGATCAATCGAAGCTCGAGCGGCGACGGTTCTTGCGGACCCGGACACTGATTCTGTCATTCGGTCTTCTGAATCTACGACTGGTCACTGGAATTGCATGTGCACCAGCACGTGCAATCCGTGGAGCTCTCGTTGCGTTCTTCGAACCCAGCCTTCTGCTGCTGCTTCTGAACCGTACGTGTCTCGGGTACAAACTCGACCGCCTCGAATACTGTACAGAATAGTATACGGGAACTATCGATTACGGCCATCGAGTACAGTGCAGTACAATACTAAACAGTATGCCTTTCTTCAGACGACATCGTCAAACAGTACAGTATTGTACGTAATCGAGTACTCGATGCAGATCGTACACTTGGTGCTCTTGCGTACGGGGGCAGAGACAGTGAAATGTGCAACACTCGAGCACTTTGCACTCTCTCGAGCTTCAGAAGAAGCCAAAGCATCTTTATGCTCCTGCGTGTGCGTGTACATGTGGATGACAAATCTGGAAAGACTGGAAAGATAAGGAGGAGGAGGAGGAGGAGGAAAAGAGGCAACGAGTTGAAGTGAACGTGCGGTTAAGTTATGATGAGGAGAAGATTGACCACACTCGCCAGTCATTGTGCATTTTATTATTCGAACCACTATCATTCAATTCAGCCAGAAGTGAGCAGAGATTCGTCATTCACTTGAGAATTGGATAGTGAGTTGAGTGAGTGACTCATCCAAGCCGGATGATATTTACTTCTCTGTTCCACCTTCTTTTCCACCTCATGTGTCAAAAGCTCGTAAACTTCTGCATTTTTCCGTCCATTTTGCACTTGCAGATATTGTATACCACGTAGGACTACTACCAACTACCGAAAGATAAAAGGAAAGAGGGAATCGAAACCATTTAGCTTTTGTTCGAGGAGGAGCATGGAAGTCCTGCAATATTAGAGTAAAGAGTTAGTCTATTGACACCCAGCTAGTACAGAGCCAAATTCCTGTTTCTAAAAGCCATCGATTAGAGCTGAAACGAGGAGCTCAAAGATCATAAAGGTGCGAAAAGGGTAAAGTTGGTGAAAAGCAACGTCGAGGAAGGCAAAAATCTACGCTTTAGTCAGACCAGGGTGCAAATGAATCATCCAAGCTCGTTGTCGAAGGACTCCGGACCTCAAATATTCAATCGACACACCACAGTAATGGTCTTGAGCACGAAAAACGATGATAAAAGGGGTCTTGCACCTCGTCGGTGTTCTCATCCATTTGGTATTTCGATGTAAGCGAAGTCGTGATCAGGAGACATCCTCGTCGTCGTCTAGGCACAAATCACTAGAAGGGGCAGAGAATTATGTGGCAGATGTTCTCATTACTGACCAACGCGGATGATCCATCGCTGTTGAGACACAGCGGTCAATGATTTTGAAAAAGTGTGATACTACAGTATTGCAACCCGATCCTCATTTTGCAGCCAGCAAGCAAGCAAGGTCGCAGCCCTTGTGTGATGATGAGTTCCAAAGAAAGGAATTATGATCCTCTATGTTCATGCCGAGAGATGGAGAGCGGTAGCAATGAAGCTGATGACGTCGACTGAGACTTCAGTTTTACACAAGGTTTGTGCACGCAAGAGAACTATATGGGCTCTCTTTGTTACAGCTCCGGATGGGTATCCGTCCGAAACAGCGTGGTCGCTGTACTAGAAGTCAAAATGGTGATCGTGTATTTTATGGTGGCGATGCATTCATGGCACCTGGAAAGCAGAAATGCTCGAGCTCACTTTTACCTCTTAATGTCGAGTGGTCGAAGAGATGGTCTAATGAGTGCGGACACATGTGGACAGACTGGACAAGATCGGACTCGGTCTCCAGTTCTCAACAACATGGATTCATGCCTACTCTAGAAAATGGTCGTAGCATCAGCATCCAGAGATTTGCTTGGTACGAATATTATTATGGAATGTCACATGTTCATCCCTCAAACAATTCATGCACCTCGCCATCGGGCTTGGGCTTGGGATTTTCTTTCGTAGTCGAGCGGTTACGAGCCTATCGAGTGTCTAAATCATTATGCAGAGAGTCCTGGATACGTGGGTCGGTCCATCTCGTGAATTGGTTCTCGAAAGAATTGGTTCGAATTCGCCTGCCAGCTCGATTCAGCTCACGAGAACCACAGTGATAGTGATGAATGTTCTGTGTTCCTCCCCCTACTTTCGCAGCATCGGCATACAGCTCAGGCACCGAACTGAGCTGTACGACTGTGGAAGAAGTAAGAAGTGCAGCACAAGTGCTGGGAGGGAGGCCATAATTCGGATCCGTCAAACCACACTCGGCTCGGTCAGGACTACCTACACTAGCAGCAGCAGCAGGAGGAGGAGGAGGAGGACGACGACGACGACGAGACATGCATGTACAGCACAAGGTTGAAGGTACGATCCTGTACTGTACTGTTTCGTTTCGTTTCGCCTGTTGTGGTGATGGCAATGCGGTCTAGAGAATCGTTGAAGCAACTGCCATCATTGCGTAGGAAGCAATCAGTAAGACATGGAAGGTCTGTACAGTCTTCAGAGCTAAACTCATCGAGTGCTTTGCATCATCTTCTCCGTGTGCGTGTATGGGTGAGTGTGAGTATATAAGGGAGAAGAAGAAGAAGAAGAAGAGGAGGAGGAGGACTCGGATTGTCCAGTGGGACCTTGAGCTCGTCCACTCAAAGTGGGAAAGAGTACTCAATGATCGAGATGACTTATCTCTCTATGTCTTGTTCTCTCTCTCCTTCTCTCTCTCACGTGTGGACGTAGGTTTCATTATGCCTCTCATTAACGTCTCTCTCAGACACCTCCCGTCTATTTTGTCAGATGTCGGTTATAAAGTAGCACGCTGTTAGTTGCTGACTGCATTAAATTTCCCCTGCACATCCCACCGCGCAACTAGTGCTCGGTCGGGAAATGTTTATCGGCGACGTCATTATGAGTTCGTTTGCCCCATCAGGTTCATGAACGTTTGTTTACATGCAATTGTTTTGATCTCCGGACCTTCTTTCATTTACCCCCAAATTCCAATTGATTTTCTATTTTTTCCCATTCACGTTCTTCTGTTCTTTTGATTCATCCCTTGATGAAGAAGGGATGGATCAGATCGTAGACAGTGAGATAACCCGAGATGTGGACGAGAAAAAGGTTGTTAAATTCAATTGTAATGTCAAACCCATAGATCTTATGAAGAATCTTCTGCCACTTATCATGTTCGAGACTGGAATATGAAGGGGAGGGATTCATAATGAAAAGGTATTATCTGTTTGACGGAAGATACTGCCATGCATACGCTTAAGAGTTGAGTACAGTACTGTATACCATGATTTTGCATAAACCTCTCAAAAGGTATGTAACATAGAGACTGCCGATAGTTTGTCAGCCTGAATTATTACGAACGGATTACGCTTCTATTTTGCACGTAACATTGTACACATGTAGAGTAATACCGTTTGAGAGTCTCCAGGTTTGCTTCTTTGGTAACAAAAAATAGAAGATATAATGCAAGATGTGAAGTTCCTGGGTGCCATGATATGGATTTCGCTTGAAATTGAGTAAGTTCATTTATGTATCAAGAAAACGAATTTTTATGTTAGTTCTAACTTATATTTTGCAAGCATGATAAAGGTCTCACATCCCAAAGAATTACCCATCTCATTTACAGCATCGGAAAAGGTTGTAGTGACGTATAGTATCTCAATACATACATACATAGATACAGATATATTTTTCATTAAAATTCCTACATAGCTAAATACCAAAGACTTTGCACTAGCTAATTTTCACGATAACGATTTTTATAATTATCAAATACTAAAACTGCCATTCATCGGTCACTGATGGAGCGACTGGTCTTCTACAGGTCCCTAGTGCAATTCTAGGTGGATTCCGGGTTAACCGCACAACGGTTTCTAAAGGTAGCTATGTAACTAGGGATGTACTTACACAAGTGATTGTAAATAAATATTGCATTATTAATTAATCAATCAAATTTCCACGCCGTATTCTACCTTGAGAATTATACAATCGGCAAACAAGCAAGAGCTTGTTTGCCGATTGTATACCACGCAACATCTTTTTCCAAGCGAAGTTAAGGCTAAAAGCAATCCATCACACTTGTTCAATTTGTGCGTTCGAGGTTCTTATTGGGTCAGATGGAAATCCGAAGCTTTCACCTTTTGGAACAGGATTAAAGCTCAAGCAGCAATAATGTCCAGTAGAACCTGGACCTTACAACTTCTATAGCTGTACAACTTCTAAACAGAGTTGTACTCTTGCCTCGATTTGTAGCTTTACCATAGCGGTCAGCCCTCCTTCAGACTGGTTGGAATAGTCGATGCCACAGAAGAGGGACTAAATGCAAAAGTGTCAAGGATCCAGGGAGCGTGAAGTTTAGGACAGTAGACATGGCTAGTCGTCAAGTGTATCACTTGGATACTCAAGTTCTTTGGGTATGCCAGGATTTGGGAGATACAAATGCAAATGCTGTCCGGATCCGTATAAGGTGACAGAAGTCTCTCGTGGGTCATGTACAAACAGACGACAGTTTGGTGCAAGTTGCACCACTGTACGTCGAAGTGCTGCGATTGGCAATTGGGCACGAACATTCTTTTTTCACAGTCTTTCTCCCTCTCGAGAGCTGGAAGAAGCAACGTGCCCCTTCAACTTCTTTACTCGCCATTTCTTCAACCGAGTGCACAGTACGATACAATGCTGTACAACAGCTTTAGCACGGAGCCCAAGATCGACTGCTGCTGCTGCTGCTGCTGCGCTCGGGCACGGAGCAGAGCTTTGCTTCCTGTTCAGGTGGAGGGAGGAAAGGTATGCCGGAGTCCGGAGGACCCTTCACCTCCATGTGCGAGCGAGCGAGCGAGCGAGTATCAAAGCCTCTCCCTCTGGCACCATTCACCTGATTGATTGCTGATACAGTATGCTTTACTATTTACTGCATCAGCAGCAGTGCTCGGGTGGAGTCTATGGCACTGACCAGATCAGGGTCTGAGGTTTCTTCTGTACCGGACTGGATTGTAACACGATCGAGCTCGAGCCATGAGCACAGGACAGACAGACAGACGCCAAGTCCCTGTACACAACAGGCTCTTGAAAGTCCACACGGACTCTTGCTCTGATCGTCGCATGTGTTTGTGCAGTTGTTGGAAGGTCTACTTCTTACCTCGAAAGAAGTGGCTGTACACTGTGCAGCAAATGGCTTCTGCTATTCAGACGATGTTCAGCAGACTGCAGTGGAGTGCGTGTCCCAACTCATCTTTTTATTCGTGTCGCTAGCCTGATTTCCTTCGCGGGTGGAGGAGAGCTCATTATAAAGAACTTAGTAATCAGGAGTGGAGAAAAGAAGAATTATTATTACTCGTGATGTGGCGCATGCTGGCGAAAGTCATACAACAGCCAGCCATTCAGACTGTCGCATGAATGGGAGAGGATTAGGAGGGAAAGGAAAACTTTCCCTTCGTGTGAGCAGTGCTCAATTTTCGTGGTTTCTTGTTTCGGGAAAAAGCTGAATGAATGGAGAGGAGACGACTGGAAAGTCAGGGCTGAATAACGTGTGCATAGTACACAGCAGTGAATGCATGCATGGCCCGGTTGGTGGTGCTTGGGCTGTAAATGCCAGTACCGCAGGAACTGATACTGCAGCACGCAGCAAATACCGTTGTACTGACAAATAATCGAAGGAATTCGCCTCGGCATATAACCTATAGATGAGATGTGTTTGTGACAAAATCCATGTCTCGATTTCTATAGAGGTGAAGGGCTGTAGCAGGTCGGCTCTTGTACAGGGTAGACATAGGGCCACGAGGGTTCACTTTCTAATTATTGTGAATCTTCTTGTCCTCTGCCAGTCAGAAAAGTGAGCACATCCAGCCTTCATCCTTAGTTTCCTGCCTTAACTTATCATCCTAACCGCTAATTAGCATCGATGCTGCTCGGAGAGTGGAATGATTGATCTCTGTAGATACTGGCATAAAAGACTTCTGAACTGAAACCTTCGGAGATACCGTACAACCCACATAGATGAACATACAAGGAACGAGGGAGAGAAAGAAGAGAGAGAAATTTGAATGCGTAATTATCTTTTATCCTCGTGTAATTATTGGCAGCGCAGATCAGAATTCGAGAGTTGGACAGACTTCTCTGAAGAAATTTGAACCTATGGTCTAAAGATTCCATTTATCACAAACACAAGGAGAGGGTGAGAGAGTGTGGCCTCACAAGCGCAGAGATGATTTGCATCCACGCCATCTCATGCTTTAGGAGGTGGATGAGATCTGAGATCGTGTGAAAAGGATTTTCTTTCAAGGATTTTCGAACTAGAGAGAAGCGTGAACCTCTGAAAGATTCCACCTGTCTCTGGGGAGAGAGAGAAGAAAGAGACTACCGAGCAGCTTTATGCTCATCAAAGTAAATCCACCTGTATGCGTGCTGTATATATCAAAAGATACAGTACAGTCTCAAAACAACTGGGCTCATGTAAATTTGTCACAGGCTTTTCCTCTAATTGAGAATTCCCTCATTCTCAGAATCCAGATGAAACAATTCAACTCGAGGTCAAGTAAATCCGGATTGGATAATAACATCAAAATATACCTCCATAGGTTCGGTACTGAAAATTGAAGACCTTCATTGGCTGTATGTTCAACTACTTTAGATGATAGATATAGACAAAATCGGCTCAAATGTAATCGAAAGCTAGAGTAAAAGAGAAACGGACTGAGCTGAGACAGCACTTGTGAGCTACACAAGAATAGCATGACTCCATGATATTCATCCTCGAGGTCCTCCAGAAAGCTGTCGGATGGTTTGAAAGCTCTTCAACGAGTGTTAAGGGAAAAAATGGCTTGGTTTGAAAGCTGGACATATCTGGACAACCAAAAAGGAATGGCACAACCTGGAGGGATCAGACACTAGACTGAAAGGAGCATCTAGACATTGGTAGAGATATGACCTGCCCAGAGGATTTGGCAAGCAACTATCTGGGCACACGAAGAGTGTGTCTGCCCATCGGCACGCTTTGTTTAACAAAGGTTTAGCTCAGAATCGTCACAGAATTTTCCACAATATTCTATCATATCTTTCTCACCCGTGTAGACCGAGTTTGGCGTGCCTGATGAGTTTGTTCGACAAACTCGTCATCAGAAAGAGGTGAGTCCATGATGATGACGATGCTGGGAAACAACTCTGCCGACACACGAAATCTGCTCCACAAACTGCTCGTTTGCATGCCTCGCTTCGATCACCGTGAATATCACTGCCGCACAAATTGGGGCAGTATTATTCAAGGCCTCTCTCTAACTAGTACCGAAGTCTCCCGACACTCACGTCTCTTGTTCTCCTCTATCACACCCTCAATTGTGTTCGTCCTGGCATCGCCATGCAGCGGTCAGTTTTACACAAAGGTAGGCGACTGCAACTGCTGAAAGCGACCTAGATTCTCCTCTTCAACAGCCCTTTACGTGATGATATATATACACACACTTGAAAGCTCCGTGACGTTCAGTTTATCAGTTCTTATGGATCTAGCTAGACCACGCTATGGTGGAGAGAGCAGAGGCTCCTTATGAAGAAGTTGCCCATCAGCCGCAAGTGCTGCGAAAGCCGTACGTTCACACGAAATCGATGATTTTCTAATATACTACTTCCAACTTCGTGTGCAGCAGATTAGCTGAAGCAGAGAATCCTCACCGCTTCAGTACTTCACGGTAATTTTCTGATCCTGTAACTTCAGCATGAAAGTTGTTGTCCAATAGTTTACTTCCACTGGAGGAGATATACGAATATATTGGGCTCAATTGCATCCGTACACCAGGATGACATTTCGATAATACTGGAAAAATGTCACCCTACTCCGAGCTGCTCGACTCAAGTGCCTTGATCTTTGTTCCTTCCATGTGAACCGGAACTTGCGAGATTGACCAGCCTGATGAGTAGTAAGTAGGCTGTGCCAACCCGGCTGCACGTGCTACTGCTAGCTTTCGTGCGGTGTGCTGTGATGCATATGGAATCCTGCCCACTTGAAGAAGTCCAGCAGGGCACTTTTCCTCTTGATTTCACAGATCGGAGTCATTGCTGAGTTCCAAGCCTTTGGACTTGGGTAGGATGACTCAAACCCAAGCCGGTAGGAAGGCAATGACCAGCCATCGGTAAATCTGAAGATGTTTTGAGTCAAAAAAACAGGCATCGAGCTCAAATTTGACATGAATGTAATCTGATGAAGTTGCGTGCTTTCTACCTCCCCTCTACCTTCTATTCTGTGGAGAATCGTTTGGGAGGATAACTTGTTTGTCGGTGGACTTTCTACAATTGGAAGCCCGGTTTCTATAGGAGCTTCTACAGGAACAAATACCTCTCTAGTGGAGATTTTTGAAGGTATTATAGAGATAGGTCGACAAGCCTTACAAGCCCCATAGTTCCCTTCCACTTTGAGTTGGACATGGGATTACACTCCTGTCATTTCTGAGTTTAATATTTACATTAATTAAAAAGAGTATAATAGGCGACTAAGAAAGAGTACATCTTATGGGCTTCTGACTGCTAAGAAGTAGCCATAAGTGGTCGAATTGGACACGACTGGAGCTTGTTGTGTGATCCAGCTCACCGACTTCCCCGCCTCATTTGGACATATATTTTAAATATTGCTTAGAAAATTTCCACTATCCATAGTGGAGAAGAGGTTGACTAACATATTAACTGCATAATATTCCTCCCAGGCCAGGTTGCTGTAGGATTCCCAGTATTTTAATTGAGGATTATGACTCGACGATAAAACCTGGGCCTGAAACGAACTGCGTGTTTACAGAGACTCTCGGAGTATCCGTATGAGTCCTAATAATATTTTGAATGAAAGTATGAGCACTTGGAGACGTATAGAAGCTCACTACTCCTCGTCCAACCTTCCAACAAGTTCCAACCGCTCGTCAATCTCACATCCGAAACCTCGAGTGTAAAGCAGAATTGGTGGATCTGAGGCAGAGAAGAGAGCCTGACAAAGCGTGTGCCACTCACTCACTCACTCACTCACTCCACTTCAAGACCCTTAGAGAGCAGATCGTAAAATCAGAGGAGATAAATCCCATCAGAGGCCGGATCACAGAGAGAGAGAGAGAGAGAGAGAGAGAGGGTCTCAAAGATGGAGCGAGTGAGGGAAGAGCAGGGAAACAGTCTTGGACCCGAGTGCAAGGGCAACGATCCAGCATCTCTCCGTTGGAGATTTCGTTGGAGAGGGTGGGAGGATGGGAGGGAGGGAGCTGTTGGAGGACGGACAGACAGTCGTCAACAACCACCATGGCTGGCCAGCTGAGTCATGCATGCGGTGGAGGTGGAAGCGAGAGGGGAGAGAAGAGAGGAGAGGGGAGGGGAGGGGAGGGGAGTGGAGTGGAGTGGAGGGGATGAAGGGGATCTCGTGGGGTAGAACGAGAAGGGATGATGAAGGGTACAGCGCAGGCGCGAGCAGCTCAGCTGCCGGTAAAAGGCCGGTGGCACTGGAATCTCAGTGGCTCAGATGGCTCAGGTTCACGAGCCCAATATTATAATCACCCGGATGCCTTGCCATCCCCTCCTCCGGTGGCAGCAGGCGACTTGACCCTCGTCTGCCCCAATTATTAAAACTGCAACCTCTTCGAGCACTTATCATACTCCTCTCCTTCCCCTCTCCAATCATGAATACTGCTCACCCTCCCTCGCTCCCCGTCCCTCCCTCCCTCCCCCCCTCCCTCCTTCCTCTCGCTTTCTTTATTTCCCGCTCGCCTCGTGCCTTCCATACATGCATGCACTTCTCCTCCACCTACGACTCCTCCTTCCCCTTTCGTCTCCTCCCCTCTCCTCGCCTCGCCTCGCCTTCCCCTCCCTTCCCTTCCCTTCCCTCCCCCTCCCCCTCCCCCCTTCCGTTCCCCTGCCGGGGGCTCGACTGCGCGCTTCGCTCTCCTCTCCCGCACAATCTTTCGGTTCTTCGGTTCTTTCGTTCTTTCGTTTCTTTTGTCGCCGACAGCGGTCGCAGCGAGCCCTTCGTATCCGCGGGGGAACAAATCGCTGCCTGCTTCCGTCAGCCTGACCTAATAGCGCTATATCTTCTCTCCCCTCGCGCCGTCGGATGGGACCGATCGGGCGGTCGTAAAATAACCGAACGAATCTGTCGAGATCTGATTTACGAGTCGTGGATGTGGTGCATCCGACGGTGGAAGAATGAGGAATTTTGGAGAAATAGAGGCGCATTATATCGGGGAATTAATGTTTTTTTAATCGATTATAATTCTGTCATGACGCAGCGGCATTACGGTTATGAAACGATCCGTTAATCTGCTGGGAGAGTCGTTATACTGGAGGGAGGGAGGGAGGGGGAGGGAGAGGGGGAGGAGGAATGGGCTGGGTATGGGAATTGGTGGTCGACAGTGGCGAATAGCACACTATTAAGCCCATGATTGCGCATAGATTAGACACCGAGGTAGACAGGCAGAGCATTGATCTCAGGTCTCAGAGTTACTGTCGACCCAGCCAGCCAGCCAGCAAGCAAGCCCTGCCTGCCTGCTCACTTGGTGTCGAGCAATCAATCATCTCTCCAGTGTCCCGCACTTTCTTCAGAGCCTTTTGCTCGAGCTTCCCGCAGAGGATCGGATCCAAGCAGAGAGGGGAGAGACAGTAGACAGTGAGTGAAGTGAGTGAGTGAGTGAGTGAGTGAGCTCACGCTGAATTTGGTCAGACTGAGCTCGCTCACAGTTGGAGAGACTTTGGTGGCATCTGCGTTCGTTTCTACGAGCATTCATTCATTCACTTCCTGCAGCAGATAGAGTGAGATTGAGCGAGCACCGAAGCATATTCTGTTGTACTGTCAACTTGTACGGAGGCAGAGAGGGAGGGAGGTGAGGTGCACTGCAGTGCACTGCACTGCTTGCTACGGTCTGTCACTCACTGTCTGGTGCTGGTGCTGGTGATGGTACTCGAATATTGTCGAAGGAACTCAACTAAACGACACGTAAACTGAGCTCGAACCTGGATTCAAGGTTCTGATCAACCTGGCACGCACCAACGCTCCCAAACTGGAGCATCTCAGCTGGAAATTTTAATCTCATTTGACTGACCCCTTTCGTAAGAACCCGGGGACTGTCACAACACAATCTAGTGAGCGTAAATCTTTGTAATTGCTTCGAGCCCGACAGCTCCTTGGCAGCATGGCTCTTCAAAGAAGTCACGACTCCATGGATGAAAAGCTGTGGAGTAGACTACCGGAGGACCTGATGCAGAGAGTGCTCGTATTCTTGCCCATTCCGGATGTGCTCAGGCTGCGCTGTGTGTGCAAAGCATGGAACTCACAACTCTCGTATAGAAGGTCTCTGGACTGTCCAATTTCCGCAGCTGTTTCTCAGGCTCTTTTGTCACAGCAACCATATCTCCTTTGTCTGACCGCAGTCGCTTCTCATCCTACCATTCACGTTTACAATGTGTCCCTTCGCAAGTGGGACGTGATCTCGCTGAGTTTCTTGCCAGAGCTGGACGAGATTTCGATTATCAAATCCGGTGGAGGTCTGCTGTATCTGAAGGCAAGAGTAGGGCACTGCGATGACACCATCTTCCTCACATGCAATCCTCTGACCAAGACTTGGAAGCAACTCCCTTCCGTTTTCTCCGAGAACGAGCCTTACAGATCCGGAATGTCGAGCTTGACATCCATGGTCTGCAGCTCAGAACCTGGACGAGGCTACAGGATCATCGAAGCTGGTCTGAATGGACTCACCGACCTGCGCACCAAGATTTACGATTCTGCGACCGGAGAATGGAAGACGAGTGGAGGATTGCCTTCACAAGTCACCGGATTCGAGTCCGAGGGAGTCATTATCAACGACTGTCTGTACGGGGTCACTTGCCTGCCGTATAAAATTATAAAGATGGAGCTCGATGGAGGATCATGGAGTGAATTCTCGCCTAGCCTCCCCAAGTGTGCAGTGTATCCACACCTGGTGGAAAGTCTGGGTGAGATGGTCATGCTGGGAGGCTACGATTCATGCTGGGAAGAAGGATTTATCCCCGAACCAACTGCGCTGAAGGTGTGGAGGCTGGATCGTTCGAAGATGGAGTGGGAATGCGTGTCCTCACTCCCAGACGAGATGCTTGAGCAGCATCTCACCAAGAACTGCTTCGATTCGCTCAAATGCGCTGCGCAGGGGGCATCCATCTTCATCTCGAATTTCGATGGTTCTGTCGTGTTGGTCTTCGACCTGGTCCTCAACTCCTGGACTCGGCTTCTCGAATGCCCATCCCTCTCGAACCGGCAATCATGCATTGAACACATGTTCGTCTTCAATCCGTCTTTGCAAATCACCCTTTGAGCCAACACCATCGCTGCCTTCAGATTTCATATGATCCTCGTCGTCTTCTTCACAAGATTTCCGCTTAATCTTGGACCAAACTCAAGCTGTTAATGTTAGATGACAGTTTCAGTCGACATCGAGCATGTTCTCTGACTGCTGCGCTTCACATATCATATTTGTAAAACTGAATTCAGGAGATTGGAATTTATGAACCATCTGAATTGACCTCAAACTTAAAACTATTCTTGTATCAGGCTACGAGACTTTTTCTCCATTCGTCAGGCAAGCATGGAGCGTGTGTTAATGTCAGGATAAACATCAAAATAACAGCAGGTCATGATGGGCTTCGAGAGATTACCAAAGACACACATAACTTATCCGTCTTCTGGAACTTTGAGAAAGGAGGCTCGTCATCTTTTAGAAACCTTAAGTTGCACGTCGACAGACAGGCTTTCTTGAAAAAAAATGAAACTTTAGTGTCATCCTGAGGATCCCACAATCATCATGAGTCCAAAACAAGTACACGATCCAACAACTGAATGGTCATAGTCCGAACTACCTCCACTCCGGACTTTCTGTCAATTCCACCACAGAGAAACTTCCATACCAGGTGGAGTACTCAGCACTGTTGTCTGTCAATCGAGAGCCTTTGGACTTCTTCCTTCTACTTTAGACGATCTTCGATGATGACACACATCTGCTCCAGCTTTCTATGTTCACGGAGAGGGGGCACGACCAGATTTCCATCTCCCTATTAAGAATTTGCATGCAGGTTTGGTTGGATCGACGCTTTGCTACTTCGATCAGTCTTGATGTAACACACAGCATCTCTCCGAACCTTTACTTAGGACCAATGGGACCGATGTCCTGTTTAGACGAGGTCATAGAGGAGCCTAATTCTGATGAGAGATCATTTCACGCATGGAATCCCTCGTCCAGTATCGATGGATATCAAACATCAGATATGTCATCTTGTTGCCCCCCACGAGATTTCTGGGATACATTTGGGTATAGAGCGATTCCAGGGTCGGTGTAATTACAGGCTCGGTTCTTATCGCCGAACAAGGTGTGTACATCTCACCTTCCTACCTCGGCCGAGCGTCACGAAGGTCCTGAAGGTTCGATGGCCATTGATGGTTCCGATGTGAATCTATCTTTCTTGGTAGTAAAGTTTCCTACCTACACACCGATCGAAACCCCGTAGTGATCATTGCGCATGTTGACAACAACTGCAACATCATCAGCTCGCCGATAAAAAGCGTTCGGTGAGACGACACGGCACATCTGGTGACTCGTCTCCCAACGTAAACTACGAGAGAATCCGTAGGGCATACATGGTTCACCTCTAGACTTTTGAGAAAGAAGAAGTAGAAGAAGAAGAAGAAGAAGATGGAAGAAGACAATGGAGAAAGAGATCAAATCGCTCAGATATGATTGCGACAACTGTCCAAGCCTTAAACTCGATGACTACTCGACCGACCTACGAGATGATTGATTGAGTTTGCAACACTCCAAATTCTTCTAACATGACACCTCCGTCAAACTCCATCAACGCACTCGGGTGCTGGTGTGTTCACATTCATAGATGCCCGATCAGCCCCTAATCATCCGATCGGATCGGACCGGACCGGACCAAACCAGACCAGACGGGACATCATGACCATCTCCTGCATTAACTCCTCGAGCTTCGAGGTCTACGTCTGACCCAATTCTGCTCCCCTCCCCGAGAGACTCCCGTGGCCCCTTTCGGCATACCTTTGAGCTCGTGTCAATCCGGAACTTGCCACACCCATCACACTAAAGTTCCAAAGGTCCCCAACGAATTATCATGGCAACGCATCGCATCTCATCACAGCGCGGTCAGAGTGCATTCAGAGACAGTACACAGAGTCCTGCTTCATTCACACTCAGGTTCATTCACTCACATACATCATGCTCTCCTGATTTCTTCCCTAGATTCGGCATTGATGAATCTGGTCTACAACAAGCGAGCTGATCACCACCATTAGCACCATCGCGGTGGTCGACCTCCATGGCTCAAGTACTCGGGGACTGTACCCCGCGAATGTAACAGAAGGAATCCAGAGGCGAGATCTCGATTTGTGCATCATCAGAATCTCCATTACGTGCCAGTAAGCGCAGGGACAGTCCCTCTGGCGGCGTGCTCCTCGCGGGAACACGTAGACCCAACCTCAGACCACGTCAGCGGCAGAAGTTTCATCCGCAGCGAAAAGGGAACCTCGCCGGGAATGTTACCCAGACCGACCGACCGGCGCCGGTCGCCGGTCGCCGGACGCTCGAGCCACTTCCGAGCAAAAGCTTCCACATTCGCCCGAACTTTCCCGGCGGAGCGAGATCTTAATCCGAGCGGCGTGACAGCCACGTACGCGTGTGGTGTTCCATCTGACGGCGGGGACTGGTCGTCGAGAATGAGAGAAACGCGACGCGCCGTCGATTTCTCCACCCCCGGGTGTCGTGTCAGACGACAGCACGTAAGAGTTTCGTCTGCCGGGTCGTGAGGTGGCGACCACGTCAGCCGATCCAGTATTCGGGACTCTGCTGCTCACCTTCGACGATTTCCTGCAGCCTCTGACAGGATTGCCCCTTTTGCCCCTTGCGCCCGTACATGGCGAGCGAGAATTCGGGGCTCGTCGTCGAGGGGCACATCGAGGGCCCTCCCTCCGCCTCCGCCGCGAACCAACGAATGACTCTTCGGTTGACTTCGACCAAATGGTCATGATTCATAAAATTCAGGATAAACATAAAAGGGCCCAACGGAATGTCTGAATATTCTTCCTGCTTCATCTCGCTGATAATCCATCCTTAGCTTCTTCGGGCGGGGGCCACCCCCACCCCCACCCCCCTGCAGAGCTATGGCGGATGCTGCTCCTGCTGCTGCTGACTGGGGGGTGGATGTTGTTCCGAGCCGTGAACTTAATCGACGGAGGAGTACGAAAAGGAGAAATTACGACCCACATGCAAATGTGTGCATTGTTTCATGCAGACTCGAGCGAGCGAGCGTAACTGGGAAAGCGTGGAAGATTCTCCGCATGCCGATCGCTGCCCTGGTTTCTCTCTCTCTCTCTCTCTCTCTCTCTCGATTGCGTGATCTTTCCCGCTGCTGCTGCTGCTGTGAAGGTTGGAAAGATGGACGTGACCTGGGCATTGACGAGGCCTCCCTCCCCCTCCCCCTCCCCAAGCCCCACGGGAAAGGGCACCGAGCGTTTGGGTCGGAGATCTTGGCCCCTGTTTCTGTCCAGATCGCAGTCCGCCCCCCCCCCCCCCCAAGGCCGTCGACACACTGCGACTGTGCTGCGGATTGTGTAGGAACAGGGAGATTCGAAATCTTCTGGCTGTGATCAGACAACACGCAGCGCGGCTCTGCTGCGCCTGTGATATCTCAGAGTGACACGTCTGTGCCTGGATCGGGCCGTCGAAATTAGCTCGCGGCATAATAGTTGCGGATATGTATGTCTGCTAAAGCGCAACAGCAGCAGAGCTCGCCGAAAGCCTACACATCCTGGCTCTCCTTTGTCATGTGCTGCCGCTAATTCGGAGCTGACATCCCGATTCCTTGTTATTAGCAGTGATTTCCCCAATGGACTGCCGTCGTTCGATCGTTCGATCGTTCGTTCGTGTCGGTCGGCTTCGCCATCGCAGACGCTACCAAACGAACGGAGCAGCCAGCCACCCTGTGAGTTGGGATAGCGTGCGATGGCGCCGTGCCTTTCCAGCCACCGATCCCCCGCCCGCCCGCCCGCCATGCGCAAGAAGAAAACCTGCACACTCCTCCGCGAGCATCCGACTGACGACGACGACGCTTTTCTGGACAGAATGAGGAGATGTGGGATTCGTTTGATCGAACTTAAAGGTGCATTGGGCTTCATTCTCTCTGCATGTAAGCTAGCTCAGCTGCGCCCCATGCACCGATTTCTATACTCGTGACGTGACTCTCATGGAAGGTGAAGGAAGGAAGGAACGAATAATCTGAGCTGACATGAAACCATCGGATTATGTCACGCCGGCGTAAAGTTGCTCGTGGACAGTGTGGCCTTTGGGCTGCCGGCTGCCTTTCTTAACTACTGAACCGAATCTCATGTGCATCGGGTTGAGGCGAGCTGCTGCTGTGTGAGAATGCAATTCATTCTGCACATCATCCTTCCGGCACTGACATGTGAGCTTAGAGGATGCTTGGCTTTATTGTCGGGTTTAGAACCAGATTATCACGCGCGCGCTTGCACCCCATGAGCTCTTTCCAATGCGAAAAAGCCTCACTTTTGGCATGGCCTTGTTCCATGCGTCAAGCCCAGCCCAGCCCATCCCAGCCCAACTTATTTTTAGCTCGGGCCTTTCCAGCGTGCTCTCATGGCGGTAGGTTCTCGTACGTAGAGGGCGGTGCAGCCGCTCCCCGCAACCTTTGCTGGAGAATTTGCGCTGTTCCGTGCCCCGTCCTCCCTCAGGGACAATCCCTGCTTTCGGCATGCCTCCCCTCCCTCCTTTCATGCCTGAGGCTTGGAACTCTGAATCCTCGACTCGGTGCCCAATTTCAGACGCACCAGATGGCTGCTGCTGCTGCTGCTGCTGTCCTGGAACCACGAAATCAGGGCACACATTTCCTGGACTTGATCTCGCTGCTCTTCCATGCCATCCATCTCCTTTGCGCAAACTCTTCGACGAAATCAACGCCAATGATTGAATGAAAATGGAGACATTTATAATTGTTGCGCGAATAAACTCAATCTCACAGTTCTTTTCTAAACAAGATGATACTAGAGTAAGTAAGCTACCCTGAATGCACTCAATATAGATAGAAGGATGAGATATTTCGATACTACTAGTTCAACAATGTTGACGAGTGATAAGAGTATCCATCTACATTTTGTCAATTACTTACAGAAAAGCTTAACACTCAACTTTATCGCATCCGTAATTAATGTACTGGAGAGGTATGTTTGACATCAAGTATGAAAAGTATTTTCAACAGGAACAGAACATTTGGTACACGTGCAGTAAATGTGATAATATATGGCATATGTGTTCTTAGAGTGCGGACTGCTGATGTGTTCTTAGATTGCAGCATGGGTCGTCGAAACCATGAATCTCTTTTGTCTAATATACTTCTATATGGGATTATTGATATGGGAGAGCTAAGCGTAGATAGAGAGTATGTGAGGGGAAGTTCAGCCATCCTGAGTTTAAACTTTGTTGAAAGCTACAAGACAATTCTCCTCATCAATTTTCAATTTAGAAGA